TTTTTCAGTTTTATCTCATAAATAATTTCAGTATTTCGACATAATTTTGCTCTCATTCTAATTTTTAAAGTGTTAAGCCCTTTGTTCAAAGATGTAAAGCAAGTCTTTGATGTTCCTAGAGTGTGTGTGAAGTTTCAGCTAAAAAAACACTAATAATGTGTTATAACTCTTTTTTGGTGACTGTCGCTTTAAATGCAAATGAGATTGTGCTCTTTTCAAAAGAGGGCGGAGCTTCAAATGCCTGTGTGTCAGCATAGTGGCAGATTCAAAAACAAGACTAACGCCCTATGCTAATGAGGAAGAGATGATGTCACTAGTGGGCGGGGCTTTATATCTCTGATGACACGTACAGCGGGAGAATGTCAATCAAAGTGTTTCTGCAGACTGTGTGAATATAAACAATACAAGTTTACCATTAGAAGCTGATTATGTTCACACACCGCTGACACACAACTGTGTTTTGCATAATACCTTCCCTTTCATTTCTCACCAGCATGAGGTTTGAACTGCCCTAAAGTGCTGCCTATTTAGGGAGCTCACTGGATATTGAATCACACTGCCAGTTTTTAAATCAGGTGTGTTTTTCATTTATTCCTCCAGTCAGCCAGATGTGAACGGCACAATGGAAAAACCGCAGGAAAACGACACGACGGACTCACAGAACAGAACTAAAGAGCTTTAAGCGCCTGAAAGTGCGAGTTTAAGAAGAAGCCGAGTTTAGGATCCTGACAGAGGCAGTAAACGCTGATGTGAAATATTGAAGAGCGCCGTCAGATCGAGTACGAGACGACACACCGCAGCTAAACACAGCCTTCACAGAGATGAAGCCCATTCTGGAGGACTGGAGTCACGTGACTCTCATCCAGAGGAGCTTTCAGGAGCCGCAGGAGGATGAGCTGAGGCCGTCTGTGACGCTGCGCTGTAAATCATTCATACACACACACACACACACACACACACACATGGCTGACCACAGAGACCTTCATCTTCATCATCTTCTTCTTCATCCCGATCGATGCTCTGTTCTGAGACACAAAGACAGAGTGTGTGTGTGATTCTGAAAGACTCTTGAAGACTGATGGAGGACACACACACACACACACACACACAGTTAAGTCCATCAAACATTGATGCTTTTATATGCTCTTCCTGTAGACGTGAGTGTGTGTATACCTCGCTTCACTGATCACACACACACACACACACAAACACTCACACACACAAACACACACACTCATAGAGAGGAAGGAAGTGAGAGAGAGGTAAATGCACATGCACACACAGAGACACACACACACACACACACACACACACACACATTTAAACATGCTGACATTTTAAATACACACACACACATATAGACTCACTCTGAGAAAACACACACACACACACACACACACACACACACACACACACACACACACACACACACACACATTTAAACATGCTGACATTTTAAATACACACACACACACACACACACACATATATAGACTCACTCTGAGAAAACACACAAACACACATACACACACACACACACACACACACATTTAAACATGCTGACATTTTAAATACACACACATACACACACACATATAGACTCACTCTGAGACAAACACACACACACACACATTTAAACATGCTGACATTTTAAATACACACACACACACACACACACACACACACACACACATTTAAACATGCTGACATTTTAAATACACACACATACACACACACATATAGACTCACTCTGAGACAAACACACACACACACACATTTAAACATGCTGACATTTTAAATACACACACACACACACACACACACACATAGACTCACTCTGAGAAAACACACACACACACACACACATTTAAACATGCTGACATTTTAAATACACACACACACACACACACACACATAGACTCACTCTGAGAAAACACACACACACACACACACATTTAAACATGCTGACATTTTAAATACACACACACACACACACACAG